CAGAGGCCGCCGCTACTTCCGACGCCCCGGTTCCTAGTTTCTTCCCAAGGATAGGTTCGCCCTTTAGTATGAGCTCGTCCTTCGTGGCAGTTGTCAAGCTCGCTATCTCGGTTTCTGACGTCAATGCCTCGCTTTCTGACGCCAATGCCTCGCTTTCCGAAGCCAATGTCTCACTTCCTGACACCAATGTCTGGCTTCCTGACACCAACGTCTCGATTTCTGAGGACGATGACGTTTCGGTCTTGACCTTTCCTATTTGCGCATTGGCAATGAGTGGTTTGCTTGCGCTGGCCAGACCCCAAACCAGCAGGGACACCGCGAGTATCGATGGAATCTTCATCTTCGAGGCTACTTCGCAAGATTGATGCCGATTGGGACACGATTTGCCCGTTTTATACGGCCATTGGCAATTGTGAAAACATCGTTGTTATTACGCGAAATGTTGTTTCATGGGTTTCTAAATATTTCTTTATCTTTTCTCGTCGATATCATTATTGGTCGAACCAGAGTTTATTTAGGTGGATTCGAGTCTGAAATATAGCGTTTGTTTCCTTTCCGGGCTGGTTCGGTATTGTTCTAATTATTGCAAGATTTTGGCGGCGAACATTTATTATTTCAATTGTACCGACCCAAAAGTAAAGTAATTACTTTTGGAACCCGTGTTTTGAGAGAAAAACAAACGTTTGGGAATTTTATCGGTATTTCAATTATTCTGCTTCAAGTATTCGTCACATTTAAATTTATAAAAAATATTATATACATGTTTATATCTTCTAGCGTGAAATGTTGCTTTTAACATAGAATGCAAATGTCGTCATTGACATTGAACACTTTTACTAAGATAGCATGCATTTCACCTTTTCAAGATGTATTCGTGCTTTCTCTTAATTAAAAGTGATTCTGGATATTCACCGTGTCTATGCTGAGTGCTTAGTATTCTCCATTAATTCGAAATATTATTTTCTTATTTGCTACTTTCTCAAGCCTATCATTTAATGATTCAGTGTTCCAATATTTCATCGAATCCTGTGGCACAAATGTTTAAACCAGTTGTGATTTCACTATTATTATTTGCTGCTGCGATTTGGACATTTAAATATTTTTAGTGTAGCTTATATTTTTCAATATTTAGAGACGAAAGTAGTGACAGCAAAATAAAAAGTTGCAAAGAAGGCAATTGAGGAAGGCAAAGGCAAATTAAAGTAAATTTATTTATTACATTCATAGTCTATAAATATATTCGATTAAAATAACATGCTTCACGTAATTATTAAATACTATAGGTGCTATAAAAGATAAGCTAATCTCTTATCTGCTTTCCAATGTATGTATTAAACAATCACTATTTCGTTTCGCATAATTATTCAGTTGTATTCGATAATCCAATATTTATCGACCAATGTAGCCGTGCATGATTAAGTAATTAGACACCGGTTTTAATGTACATAAATTTAAATAAGTTAATTAAAGTTTGCATACTTTTGTGATAATTTATACTCATATATTTAGAAAGTGTTATTTACTAATTTACTAATAGTAAATACTTATTGTTTTAATCTAGATCAATTTAATGCAACCGGCCTGACCTAAGGTAACTGTATTTAACGTATATTTATATGTAGTCGAATTGTACACACACATGTGTATTATACGTTCCAAATACAAGCTATTTTTTCGTATTCTACGTTAGAAACATTTATCAAATATACAAGACTATAAGAAGACATTTATTAATTGTTTAAACTTTCATATACTAGAAATCGCAAGCCGCTCTACCGTCGCCGACATCCAGCATCTTAAAGCCAAGCCAGGCATGACTTCAACTCAGCAATCTCACGAAAGATTCTATGGAAGATCCATCTATCACAAAGGATTGGAGAAAAGGAAGACAACGAAAATCATCAAGAAAATACATATTTGCTAAAACAGTGGACCTTTATTATCACGTAGGTAAGCTCACTTCGACAATGTTACTCTTAATTTTTATCGACTCCGTCTGTCGTTCTGTAATCATATTCAAATAATTTTCTATCGTGTTCAATCAGAAATTTCTCAAAATCGTCTAAGAAAGACTTCCTCTTGTCCCCTTCAGATATCCCTTCATTTCCCGTCCTTGTCTAAAGCATCTAAGCTGACACTAGCTTCAGCTAAGGCTTTAACTTCAGCGGCTGACTGAGCCGCGGCACCAGCGTCGCGTCCAAGTCCTAGAACAGCTCCATCTCCGATAGCTGCGGCTGCGGTGGCCTTCGCTGCGGCGGAAGCTTCCAGTTGTGCGGTTTGCGAGTTCTCGCTAGCCCAGTTGGAAGATCCCTCGGTGGCTGCTGCACCTGCGATCCGCGAAGCGGATTGTGCCTCCGCTGCAGCGGCAGCTTCTGCGCTGCTAGCGTCAGCAGCCAACACGGCGGCCTTACTAGTAGCGGCAGCGGTGGTTTCCGAGGAAGCGGTGGCCTTTGTTTCTGCAGCGGCTGCAGCAGCGGCGGATTGGGCGGCCACTGCGGCGGACCATTTCGATTGCGCGGCGGATTGTTCTGCTCTGAGGGTGGCACCTGATTCAGCGGCGGC